GCCATTTTTCAATTGGCCGCCAAATTTATCTAACTTGGCTAGAAAATTGGAACTAAATAAGCTACAGATATGATATTGGTGTCTAAACTCATAATTTCTAGACAGGCCGCTAATTATCTAAAATGTGTATGAAAATGGAACTAAGCTAGATTCCTTATTAAGGGGACGCTTTTCCATCGTTATGGAACGAGGAGAAATATAATCTTTAAACACTACAGCCACCTTAAGAGGACACCCCTATTAAGCGGATTAGAATATTTCTGAATGTGCCTAATGGTCGAGGTCAATTAACATTGCATCATGAAATAATAATATAAAATACAGCTATCGTTTTAATTACATCTCAGCTGATTTCACATTATGAAACGATGGAGGGCTTAATCATGTGTTGACTGGCAGGTCAGAGAAAAAAATAAATATAAATTACTAGTTTTGCTATGAATTCTGTAGCTCATTGGTAGGTAATAAAATATAAAATTAAAGACTTTTTGATAATTGTTATTTAATACATTTTAGTAACACCTATTTTGGAAACAATTTCTTTTTTTTTCTCCTGAAGTTGTTCCCTTAATAGAGGCCCTACTGTTCTATGTACGGTACATTTTTATATTGTTTTCTGGTAAATATTTTAACTTGTATTTTCAATTTTGCAGTTTAGCAATTATTTTGTTATCTTAGGTCTTGATTATAATGGAAAGTCATATCTATAGTATTGTTATTTTTTCATTAGGGCTTCAATTATTGTTGTTGCACTGAAGGAAAAAAATATAAACACGCCTTGCATACTATTGAGAATGATGAATGTGTACCAAAACACTGGTTCGTCAATGAATAAAGAAAGAAATCCGAAAATCCAAGTCAATCCCACAATGCAAGATATCTGTATAAAAAGAGAATGCGAAAATATTAATTTATATAAAAAGAGGACATAATGACACATTGTTACAATAATATAGTTATATGTGTAGTAGTAATTATAAAAATATTAATATTATTATTATTATTATTAAATTATTATTTTTATTATTAATATTAAATTATTATTATTACTGCGGCCATGAAAATATAATTATATTATGAAAAATATATTACTATTATTATTATTATTATCGTCGTCGTCGTCGTTGCTGCTGTTATTATATTTTATTCTCCTGAAGACGATTAAAGCAACTCAATCCAAACGTCAAGACATAACCAAAAACAAAAGTTTGTTTTTTAATAACTGTCTACGTATTGCGCCGCAAAAATTAAATGTATTATTACTTCGCCAAGAAAATATTATTATATATCATTATAAATTTTGGTAAGTATTGGAACTTTATAACTTACCAGTATATCATTTTGATGGATGCTTGTAAATATATGTAGATCTATCAATACTGAATGTTTATTTTTTTTTCCTTTTTTAGTTCAAATCACCGAATTGTTGTTGTTGTTGTTGTTATTATTATTATTATTATTATTATTATTGTTGTTGTTGTTGTTGTTGTTGTTGTTGTTGTGTTTTTTCAGTTCTATTTTTAGTAGTCTTGTTAAATTTCCGGATCATTTTATTAGAAGATGTGAATGCAAAACAGATTTAAGTTATCAGTCAATCGTCAAAATTCACATAAAAATAATAGAATTTGAGATTCCGAAATTTATGATGAAAATTACAGTTATCCACCTTTGCATAAATGATGAGATTTTCAATGATATTCTTCTTTTTCAAATCACGTAGGATTTTCTTTGAGTGTTTTTTGGATCGATAAATTCCATAGGCTGTGGCTATGAACAGAGAACCGTTGACAAACAAGATTATAGACATGGGAATTCCAAGGAAAAGGAACACAGAAAACTCGTCACGTATCCAGCAAACGGTATCGTCACCATATACAAAATTAAAAGGTAAGTCTACGCAATCGCAGAAATGAAGAGTCAAAAGAATAGCAACGAATCCAAAAGGAACTCCCCAACCAAAACCTAATGCGAAGCATTTTATAGATTGATTCTGATGACGGCTATCTAGAGAGGACTTAAACGAACGGAAAGATTTGAATAGCGTCAAGGACATCAAAAACATCCACATGAAGGCTACCAGCCAAAGATAATGCAGAAGCGCTGCAAAAACAGTACATACAAGCTTAGATTGAGTAGTAACCATTTCCGCAAACAATGTCATTAGCTGTGCAAGAAACAACGATAATGCAATATTTATTACAATTGTACCGGAATACGTCTCGCGTTTCTTGGGGGTACAATACACGACCAATGTCAGAAATAAACCTAGCAAAGAACAGGACACACCAACTAGGTTGACAACTTGTAGGTTGTCCTCGTAAACAAATAATGTTACCGAAAATGTTCTTGTTCCGTTTTGTGAGAAAAATGAACAGACAAGAACTGAATCATTAAACATGATTGTAATTTCGTCATGCTTGAATTGACGACCGGTAGGTTTGTAAACCCAAGTGTCATTGTTGAAAATATAAAAATCGATTATGTCAAGAGCGACTAGAGGACAGGTTGTGCTGTACGAACAGTTGGCTATTCTTAGTGTGATTAAAGTTGTATTACTCGCAATTATGTATGTCATTTTCACTTGATAATCACCTGCTGTTATTATGAAATTGTTATTTTCGTCTGTAACTATGAACCCTTCTCTTTGTTTTGTAACGTTTAACGTGTTTATATTGAAAAACTGATTATCACAGCGCCCAACACCTAGTGAAATCATATTTTCATTTTCACAAATCTCTGTAAATGTAATATTTTTCAACAAACTTCTGTGGTTACTATGGGATTGTTGATAAATTAATGTATGTACTTCGTTGAGTAGCTGGCACTCTAATGTTTCGAATAAAATTAAAGAATTTGATGTACCAAAGTGATAAACATCGAAAAATGTATCATATCCTTGTATCAATGACGTCATCTCAGTTATACATTGTTCTTGTATTGATTCATTGTTAGCGTTATAACGTACTTGTACAATACTTGACCTGTTACAAGAACATAGAAATTCAATAGTTTGTCCAGATGGGTTCTCTGTTGGTACAGGTACAGCTACTGCAAAAGAGAATTCAATCAATTCAATACAGCCAATCTCAGTAGAGACTTTGCCCTGCTCGCAAACAGTTTCAATACATTTGTCATTGAATGGGTTGTACACTCGACCTAATCCACAATCAACGTTTTCACTGGTGAATTTCTCTGATGGAGATTCAACGCTAACACTACCAGATGAAAAATCTACTAAGATAGCTATGGGTATAATCTCTCCTTCGGGTAATAAAAAGTCGGGAGTGTCGGGGATTACATTTTTACAAAAATAGCTTAATATTCCGTGACATCGTGCACAGTGTGGATTGGCGTAAACGACGCCATTTTCGTGCACAGGTGCCCTATACATTTTGCAATAATTAGCCACTTCTTCATCTGGATAATGCATTGGACAATGCGTAAATCCATACTCATTTGAACAGTGTCGCTTACTTAGATTTCCAACAGGTTGATACTCATAATAACATTCTTCTGCACGATCTATATCAGAAAGAATATTTCGAAAACCTATCGGAGTTGTTGGAGCCATTGTTGCTGTTAGTAAATGGCTGTTATACCCTATATTAGCATATCTACATTGGGCTATTATTTCCCAGGCTACGACATCCAATATAGGCACTCCATTACAAAGAGCACAGAATACATTATAATAAGCTATATTAAATGAATCACTGACTGGGATATTCTGAAGGAGATCGTCTGGATTTGGTTTCTCACATTTTGACCAATTGACAAAATCAATTGTGTTTGGACTGCATTTAGAGATCAGGTAAAATCGATATGAGTCTGTACAGGCTGTTCGATCCCAGAACGCTTGAGAGGGACTTGGTGTGTTGTTAACTGTGCAATTTGTCCAGTAGTCATAACAACAGTCACCATAAAGTTGGCAATGTGAATCACAGTTGCACACAGATTGATTAGTTGGTGGGTTTCCACATCTACCTTGACATGTTTGATGTTGTGGACAAATGTCCATCGTTTCGCCAAATACGACAGCAGTACCTAAAACAAAATACATGGATAAATCGCATTATATGTACATGTTTTTACCTACAGAAAATGTGGTTCATCATATTTACTCTATAAGATGAAAAAAAACTAGATTCAAATTTTAAGCAATCAATAGAGAAGGAATGGCTTATCAAATTTGATATGCACTTTGCTATTCAGAAAGGTATTTATTCTTTAATAGTAAGTCATTAACATAATGGGTTTCCTGCTTGTTGTCATCTGGCCTGTTGCCAACCGGCCTTTTGATACCCGGCCTTTTGCCTACCAGCCTTTTGCCAAACTGTCGCCATACGGGCTTTCGCCACCCTAGGGCCAGCCTTTTACCATTTGGCTATTGCCATCTAGTTGTTTTTTTGTTTTTGTTTTTTGTTCTTTTTTTTTTGCCACTTTCGGCATGTAGTCACCCGAACTTTTTCTCTTTGAGTAAAATGTAAATGCAGAATATTTACAATTATTTGAGTTTTTTTCCCAAAAATCATTTGTGTTTGTGATCTGTGGATGTTGCATGTGTAAAGGTGACCAATACAAATTTCATATAGGCCAACATCAAATTTGAATGATAATCAATTAGTTGAGGATAATTTGAGAAACAACGTCATTGAATTCTACAACCAATACCTACACCATCCATACATCCATCCTCCATAATAATAATAATAATAATAATAATAATAATAATAATAATAATAATAATAATTATTATTATTATTATTATTATTATTATTATTATTAATATTATTAGCATATCAAACTAGGATTAATTTTTGATGAGAGGGAGGGTGCCTGTGTGTGTATTTCATAACAACAAATATCTATTTGACATCTGCAAAAAAATCGATTGTGTTCCTTCAAAGTACCGTACATGTTTGAAAGTGCAACAGATATACCGAATGAAACTACAGTATCTTAATTGAGGTCTGTATTAATGATATACTAAACCATTATGTGTGGCTACTGTTCTAGAGTGGTAACGGACCTAGGTTGATAATGGGACTAAGCTGGCAAATGATCAATTGGAAAAAGTTCGGGTGGCCTGGCTAAAGGCCAGCAGTGGCAACGGGTCAGCACGTGGTAACGGGCCTCGACCTACAACCCAACACTTAGATATCACTTACCTGATGGTGGTTGACTGCCATCCGCATA